GGGAGGGAGATGGAGCCTGGGCCGTCCATCAGCCCTCAGATGGAGAGTCAATAGTCTGGAGGTGGCTGATGAGGAAGAGGAGGAACAGCTGGGTCCAGTGCCTGATATGCGGATGCTCAGAAGGCAGAGGAGAGGAGAGCAGTGGAGATCTATGGGCCGGTCCTCGGGACGGAAGAGCCACTGCTGCTAGCAAAGCCCCACCGTGGCTCTGGAGTTAAAGGCAGGGGGTGGAGATGAATAGATGTGGCACACAACTATTCCTCTCCCGGACGGATTTGTAAGCCTGTGTTGAGAGAGAAACTTTTTGCCGGGACGCTCCTAATAAAGGAATCTTTTGAGTTCAGAGGATATATTTGGGGAGCTGGATCAGAACAGTCTGGTAACACCACTTCTCCTCCCTCCGATCAGGATGAGAATGTCCTTGGTTCCCAAGAGAAAGTATTTTGTTTTGACTACGAAGTCTCAACTATCTCAAATTCCCCCCTCCCTACCCCTCAGCTTCAGTGTGGCAACACTGAAGCGTCCAAAATGGCTTCGGCCCGGTCAGCTTCAGGGTTGACATGCGACCCGTGCAAAAAAAAGGGATGGGGCTTTGGCTCTTGACTTTTTTGACCTCCACGGGCCCGAGGCACCCCGTTCCTGCTGCAGGGACGCCCTTACCATCTTGCCATTCACAGTGGCCTCCAGAGAATCCACCAGCTCAGCCGTGACGCCAATGAGGTTGTGATAATCGGCCTGAATTTTGTTGAAACGCTTGAGGTAGGTCATGGTTTTGCGTTCGGATTCTACCAGCTGTTGGTGGAGCTGCTGCAACGTTTCTGCAAAGTGTGGGAGGAAGGAGCAAAAAAAGAAAAAAAAAAGAGAGAGAGAGACACACACACACAGTTGTAGTGATATAATAAGAACTGCTGCTGCCGAATAGTTCCCGGTTTGTTCCAAAAACTCTGTTTTTCTCTGTGGTTTAAAGTTAGATCAAAAAAATAAATAAACCTTAGCAACAAAGACTTTTGTTGGACTCTAGAGAGGCTGATGATCTCAATTTATTTTTTTGCAAAATTATTTTTTTTTTAAAAATGTACCATGATATATGGATGTCAGGTAGTAGCATTACTATAGAGCAGGTGGGTTATAAAACTTGACTTCATTGACGGCCGCATCAGGATTGCATTTGACCTCAAGAGGGTCCAGGGGGGTGGGCTGGTCATACTGGGTGTGGCCAGCTCGACATCACTCGTGTCGGGGTACCTGTGGTGGCCAGGTGCTAAGGCAGGACTTTGCTCAGTCCCTCCCTCACTCTCATTATAATCTCCTTCCTTCCTTCCTTCCTTCCTTCCTTCCTTCCTTCCTTCCTTCCTTCCTTCCTTCCTTCCTTCCTTCCTTCCTTCTCTTCCTTCCTCCCTCTCTCCTCCCTTCCTCCCTTTTTCCTTCCCTCTTCTCCTTTCTTCTTCCTTACCCTCTTTTTTTTATTTTTTCCTTCCTTGCTCTCTTCCCATCTTTTCTTCTTTCTCTTCCCTCTTTCCCTTTCTCCTTTCCTGCCCCTTCTTGCACGCTCAAATGCAAAAGGGAAAACATTTCTGCCTTTTGTTTTGTTTTTAGTGTGTTTTCATAGCCCTCTGCCAGCGTCAATGGAGTCTGCGGGAGACTCTCTATGGAGAGTCCGTGACTTATGACCAAAATGAAGCCCAAGATTTCTGTCGCTAAGCCAGATCCTTTTCGAGTGAGTTTTGCCCCGTTTTACAACCCATTCTGGCCACGTTTGTTAAGCGAATCGCCGCAGTTCTTCAGCGAGTAACTCTGTTGTTAATGAATCCGGCTTCCCCACTGGCTTTGCTTGTCAGAAGGTCGCAAAAGGGAATCATAAATATGAGTCAGTGGCCAAGTGTCTGAATTTTGATCCTGCGACCCTGGAGAATGCTTCAACGGCCGTTACGTGTGAACAAAGCCATCGGTCACCTTTTTCGGTGGATGTTGTGATTCTGAGCGGTCACTAAACGAAGTCAAGGGCTATATTTCTGTTTTGGAGCATAACTGCACCCACAGCAAGTCTTTGATTTGTATCACAACCGCAGTGTTCACTTAACAATCGCTGCCAACTTCCGACTCTCTTTAGCACAGGAGAAAGTAACATTACAATCACAACTTTTTGCTTTGACACAACAGCATGTACAAGCCGTTTCTATAACAATAAGCCTCATCTCCGCTGTGTGTGTGTGTGTGTGTGTGAGTCTGCCTACAGAGATGAGGTGGACCAACAGTTGCTTTCGTGGTGTGGAGACAATAACTTGGTCCTCAACCCCAATAAGACCAAGGAGCTTATAGTGGACTATATAGAAGGAACAGATCAGACCTCAAGCCCTTGTTTATCCAGGGAGACCGAGGGGAGCAAGTGGCCAGTTTTAAGTTTTTGGGTGTCACCATCATAAAAGAGGACCTGACCTGGGGGGGCTCACATTGCAGCCCTGGTCAAAAGGGCCCAGCAGAGATTATACCACCTGAGATGCCTCAGGAAACAAACAACTGGATGGAAAACTGCTGGGGACCTTCTACCGCTGCACCATAGAGAGTATCTTAACTTACGACATCTCTGGATGGTTTGCCAATCGCACAGGGGCAGATAGGACAGCACTCCAGAGGGTGAACGTCATTGCCCAGAGGATCACGGGTTGCCTTCTCCCATCTTTGGAAGAGCTTTAGAGCTCCTGCTACCTTAAGAAAGTCCAAAACATCCTCAAAGATCCATCTCATCCTGGGAACCCCTTTTTTTCAACTATGACCACCTGGCAGACGGTACAGGATAATAATAAAAACAAGGACAAATAGGCTGGAAAACAGCTTCTATCCCAGGGCAGGAGCTCTTTTGAATTCTGCCGTATAGTGCAGTGTTGGTGTGTTGTCGGGAGTTTTCGGTTCAATGTGTAGAGGGTGAAGGATGTGTGTTTGTGTTTATTTTCCTGGTCATGATGTGCACTGAAGACGGTGTTCGATTTCGTTGTACGAGCTGCAACGACAATAAACTAAACTGTCTGGTTTACCAAAACAGAATCGGAAGTTGGTGCCACTTAACGACCGTTGTGTGTGTGCGCGCGCGCATACCCACAGAGGTTGTAAAATGAGGTCAGTCACATTACTGACCCATTTTACAGCCATCACGGTTTATGATCGTGATGGAAAGGCTCCATTATGGTTGTAAATCGAGGACCTCCTATATACTCTCTCATCTGGAGGGCTACAGGTAGCCCTCGACTTACAACGGGTTCACAGGGACCGTTTTTCACACTTATGACCACGGTGGCCTCCCCATGGTCACATGATTTATATTCAGACGTGTTAAGGTATTAAGATTTAGAAATTGCGCAGGGGCCATGCTAATCTTCTCTGTATCGTTCCAATTTTAGTATATGTGCTGCCGAAGCGAGAGAGTAAAGCTGGAGTAAGGAGTAAAGCTGGAGTAAGGCTGGAGAGTAAAGTTCCCCTTAAGAGGGGTGTATATAAAAGGCAGCCATTTGAGGGAGCGGTTCTCTTTCCTTGTGACCCGTGTTCAGTGCGGAAGCTCTCCGTGTGTTAGGAGGAAGGAAAGCTTGCTTGTAAAGGTATTTTGCCGCCGCGTGTATATTAACCGTATATACCTGTTGTATATTAAACTGCTGTTGATGTCTAAGTCTGTGCGTGTTGTGCGTTGCTCCTGGGTTATCTCATAAAAGGTAGTCACACTGCCAAACGCTCTGAAAAGACGGCCGACAGCTGACTCACATTTATGACTGATGGAGTCCCTGATCCCCTCTGGCGACCCTCTGACAAGCCGAGTCAATGGGGAAGTCACTCATTTTGGAACAGCAGCGAATCCCTTAACAAACGTGGCTGAGAAAAGTCCTTAAAAGAAGGCAAAACATTCACTTCAGGCATTTCTCACACAGCCCCCTAAATCTGGGGCTTAACTGTGGTCGTAGGTTGAGGACCGCCTGTGCGACGGATAGCGGAGAAGTCCCCAAATTCTTCGTCAAGTTAGTACAGATTTAAATACCTTGGCTGCATTGCGTGTTTTCTTTCTGCGTTGGGAGAGGAAGAGAGCTAAGGAAAATGGGCTTTTGATGAAGGATCGTCACACGGCTGCTTGTGGAGCAGGGATGGGCTGCTGGGGCCCCTTTCCTGACCTGTGGACTTCAACTCCCAGAATTCCTGAGCCCACCAGGAACCCCACAGTCCTCTTCCTCCTCCTCTTCACAAACCCTCCTCCCTTTCTAGCACTGATGACGTTCCCTAGTCGGTGTTGTGGTCTGCCGGCAGCCTGCAGAGGCGGCAGGAGAGTCAGACAGCGGGGAGGAACATGGGCCAGTCTAGGAATCTGGGGAGGACTCGGATGAGGGTCCTGCATCCGATACAGAGATGGGGCCACGGCCCTCTGGGAGGTATGTGTTGACTCCGGAGCCTCCAGAATCTGGCAGCAGCGAGGCAGAGGAGCAGAGGGAGCCTGTTCCCAGTGCGTGCTTGCGCAGAGCTGCCAGAAGGCGAGAACAGCTGAGACAAAAGGGGCGACTTGGGAGTAAGGTTTAGAGGGAAGGGAAGGGAAGGGAAGGGAGAAAGGAAAGGAAAGGAAAGGAAAGGAAAGGAAAGGAAAGGAAAGGA